TTTAAATCCTCCTTCATCTTTCATTAAAGTCCATTTTTTTGGTAGACATCGTTGCACATTCTTACGTCCTTCATGCGCATCGTCACAAACAGTTTGTTTCACACATGTTATCTTATCTGTGATACGTATCCGTCCTAGGCATGGAGCACGACGTCTTTTCAAACGAGCTTGCAATAGTTCCTTGAACATTTCACTTTTCACTTCTTTCCCTAAAAACGGAAATATTTTGAAGGGGTTTATCTGTATTGATTCCTCCACGATCGGTTCGTGACCATTATATACTTCGTTCCTCCTCCTCACACTCCTAGAATGGAATGCGAANCTGTTCTGCATCCTTTTTCAGAGTTTCCAGCTCTTCTGGGGTCTCAGTTAGCAGGTCGGAGAGTCTTTTCGGCAGCTAGATGAAAAATTCATCATCCAGGAAAGCCAGTACTTTTGGCCCCCATGTGGTAGGTGCAGTTCGGAGTTCTCCGATTTTGTACGCCTTATCGACTTCCAAGTCCATGATTTTTGTTGTTGCAAAATCAGACTCCAATCGCGCAATTTTGTTGATTCTGGTGTAAGATGACATTTTTCGTTTCTCTCCACTCATTGTTTTTTTCTGAAACAAACGAAATATTTTCCAAAATCTGAGTTGATTTTTTAGTAATGAAAAAAAACAGTGGGTAAAGGAATAACATTAGAATATTTACCTGTATTATGTTTTTCCACGAAAAATAATGTTCGTTAATAGGTGTGTTGGAGTGACAAGCTATCTCTCCAGTTGTGTTGAATATTAAAGCGCGCTCTTGAGTGTCACCAATTTATAGGACGTAGTCCAGTCACATGATCTCTCATATCCCCTCTCTAAGTCCATCCCCACTTTCTGTTGAATCACACTATGCTTCACAAACACAAAAATAACGGTAGTTGACCGTTCTCATACACCAATTTCGTATTTCTTCAGTCCATGATACTAATTGGTCTTTGTAGTAAACATTTGAAATTGGTTGTGCGGGATGGAAAACATAAGATCTCTGAAAATCACAATATTTCTTATTGCAGTAAGGTACAATTTTCCTTTCAAGAGTTCGGGTATATGCAGATGGGTACATTCCATAGGATTCATACCGCAAAGGCAGCGGCCAAAGTTCCGAATTCGCACTGAATGCGAATAACATGATTTTTGAGTTGTATTCGCATATTCTATCAGCAAACTCGATATCTTCTTCTTCTAGTCTACCTCCATTAGTCCAATTGAGCAAACTATTAGCAGCAATGCTAACAAGTGACGCAGGTTGCTGCCTCACTGTGAGATACGGAATGATTGTGTTAGGATCTTTACTGGTACAAATTTCATGTTCGTATTGAAATTTAAATCCTCCTTCATCTTTCATTAAAGTCCATTTTTTTGGTAGACATCGTTGCACATTCTTACGTCCTTCATGCGCATCGTCACAAACAGTTTGTTTCACACATGTTATCTTATCTGTGATACGTATCCGTCCTAGGCATGGAGCACGACGTCTTTTCAAACGAGCTTGCAATAGTTCCTTGAACATTTCACTTTTCACTTCTTTCCCTAAAAACGGAAATATTTTGAAGGGGTTTATCTGTGTTGATTCCTCCATGATCGGTTCGTGACCATTATATACTTCGTTCCCCCTCCTCACACTCCTAGAATGGAATGCGATCGTATGCAGTGGTAAACAGTTTCAGGAATTGTGCTGCTCAACAGCCCCGAGGGAACAGTTCCAAGAATTGTTTTCCGTGCTCACGCAGTATTCTTGTGCGATGTCAACAGTTCCGAGAATCGTTCAAGGCGATAGCGCAGTAAACAGTTCCAAGGATAGTTTTCCGAGCTCATCCGTGCTCACGCAGTATTCTTGCGCGACGTAAACAGTTCCGAGAATTGTTCAAGGCGACAGCGCAGTAAACAGTTCCAAGAATTGTTTTCCGAGCTCATGCAGTATTCTTGCGCGGCGTAAACAGTTCCGAGAATCGTTCACGGCGACAGCGTAGTAAACAGTTCCAAGAATTGTTTTTCATGCTTGCGCAGCATTTTTTTGCAACGTAAACGGTTTCGAGAATCCTTCAAGGTGACAGCAAATGGTCAATAAGTCCAAGTATTGTTTTTTTATATTTTGAATCTCTATATAAAGCGTGACGGACTCCACTCGAGTTAGTTCACGCGCGACTAGTCATCGTAAAAAGACTTAACAAAAAAAAAAATTTGTGTGAAAATATATTCAAGCATGATGGATTCCAAGAAGTGTCTAGAAATTTTGGACCTAATCGAAGGAGCATACAGGAATCAATCTGTTACAAGTTCTGAGAAGTGGATAAGAATGTGTGAAAATTACATCAAACTGTTTGAAAAACTTTTGAAAAAGGACAATGCTCAACTATCGATGGCAGATAAACGGCGAATCCAAACGATGCTGTCCTTTCTGCACAGCTATTGTGAGAAGTTCAAAAGAAAAGGACAACAACACCATGGCGGGAGACTTGGTGAGACGTGAAATGAAGACAATAATGATAGAGTGACTTGGAAGGATCTGGAATCAGCCTTTAGGAGTCGAATGAAGACAGGTGTTATCATAAACCTAACTCACAAGGATCCTCAGTCTTTTCTTGAGGATGCAAAGGCTCTTGCTATCATTCATTTGAAGGATGCTCTACGAGAACAGGGCAATATCAAGGCTAATGGAATCCTCACCTGTAAGTTCCAAGTCATGAAGAATGATGAAATGATTGAAGAAACGAAATATTTCAACACCAGAAATGAAATCATTCTGCCCAGTATCAACATTGAAAAGTGGTTTAGGGATAACATCACAGAACCACTTCTAGCAAAAATTGAGGATTTCCAAGAGAAGGACTCTGGATGGGAACTGATTGAGGTTATCAATCTCACAATCAATATGAACAGATATTCACCATTAGCAGCGGGTTCGAGCACGTACATTCCATTACCGCGATGCATACAAACCAAAAGGGCCGTAGTCAATGTTAGGAACAGAGATGCATTTTGTTTCCTATGGGGGATCACAGCAGCACTGTATCCGGTTACAACTAACGCTGATAGGCTGAGCTCATATCCTCATTACTCTTTGGCTACTCTACCAGATGGAGTCACGAAACTTGATTATACTGGACTGGAATTTCCGATGAAACTCAAGAACATTCCCAAATTCGAACGAATGAATGGTCTGTCGGTAAACGTATATGGAATTGATAATGATAAAGATATAGTTCCATTATATTTAAGTAAAATCAAGTCAAGCTGGTCCAAGATTCATCTATTATTGATCTGTGACGATGCTCAGATTGAACGTGACACTGAACCAATTTATCATTTCACTTGGATTCGAAATTTATCTCGACTTGTTGGATCACAACTATCTAAGTATCGACATCATTTATTTTTTTGTGACCATTGTCTGAGCCATTTCCAAACACTCAAATCATTCGACAGCCATAAGGCAGATTGCTTTGCAATCAATGAATATCGAATGGTGTTGCCAGAAGAGGAAGCAAATATCTTGACTTTTA